CCATATTCGTCGGATCTGATTCTCGGATTAAATCAAAAAAGAGTCTTACTAGATTATTGGTGTCTTGTGCAATAGGTTATTAAAATAATCTATATCAATTATTTTTTATTAAAAATACATAGTTTTTAATTTCTTGATTTTGACCATTTTAAATTTAATTAAAGTCAATTGGATTATTAAAAACTCCTTTGATTAATTTGGTTTCATTGGGTCAATAATATTTTTGGTTTAAGTTAAAATCCAATCTGAATTAAACTCTAAATTATAATTTTTTTAGATTAGATCATGAAGGCTTTAATAATGTATATCAACATGCTAAATTGTTTTCCAACAATTGAATGAATTAATGGCAATAAATAGAGTGTTTAAAAGGGGATAAAGAGAGAGCAAAGAGGGAGAATAGAAGATTACAGAATCATTACTATTTGTGTTTTGCATTGGTGTGTGCACTAAAGGAAGCTTTGCTTTCCACAGGCCACGTAATGAAGTTATGATCGAGCACCATCGAGGGTCCATAATGGAAATATATATATATACATATATATATATGGGATACCATTATTCATTATTGACCTTTTTGTGCTAGGAATTGTCATTATAATTGACCAATCCTTGGCTCCCAAAAAAAAAAGAACAAAAAAGGAGACATTATTCAATAAGGGTTTAGTGCAAGCTGCTGCACATGAAGGATCGTTTGTCTAGTTATGCTCGTGGGGTTGGAGTTGAACACTTCTTTCTCACTGGTTTGGGAATTTGAAAATGGTGAATCATTTGATGAGTCGAATATTCAAGCTCTTTAGGGTTTTGTAATTAAAAAAATAAGTAGAAGAAACTTTTAGATGCTGTTTAGGAGCAATGAATGAAACGTGTACTTGTATGAATTTAAAATAATTAAATAGTATTTAATTAATTTTTACTGTCATGGTCTTAAGATATAAGACCAATATACATCATAACATGTTAACAATATTTTAATAACATATATATTATTTCATATTAAGATCTTATTTGTTGGAAAATAATTTTTTTTAAATAAATTTTAAAAAAATAAATTCCAGAAAAATAAATTATATTATAATATTTGTCAGTATAACAGAAAATAAGTTAGAAAATATTTTCCAGTATTTAGTTATGTCATAAAAAATAATTTATTAATAATTTATTTTTTTAAAATTTATTAAAATAATAAGGAACAAATCTTACAAATTAAAAAGTTAAATAAAAATAAAATTTCATAAATTATCTCAAATAAAATAAATAATAATAAAAAATAATAGTGATCAAATCTAAAAAATAAAACAATAAAAGATAAAGAAATTAAAATGATAATAATTAACATTTTATAAATTATTTCAATAAAATAAAATAAGTTAAAAAAAAATGAGTACCAAATTTGATAGATAAAATATTTTAATAAAAAACTAATAGGAAAAAAGCAAATAACAATTATAAAAATAAGAACTAAAGTTAATATAAAAATTAAATTTTAAAAGATGAAATTAAAAAATAAATATTAAAAATAAAATATATATAGCAATCAAAAGTTTGATGACCAAATTTTATATAATCAACAAATAATATGACATTTCTAATTTTTTCACAACTTTCAAAAAGTGTTTTTTGTCAAAAATTTTCAGGAAAATATTTTTTTAAAAACCAAACTAAATTTTTTCTTCACTAAAAAATATTTTGTGTTGACTAACTTTTCTAATGATAAATAAATATAAAAAATTTTAAAAAATAAATATAGCATAAATAGCCGAGACCGGTCATAAAAGCTCCAGCCTTTGCGAAATTTCATTATAAAGTACTTTCTCACGAAATTCCCAATACATGAATAAAATACGAGACTCGTGTCCATGATACCCCGACTACATAGAGTCTCTATATGTGGACGCGTACTCCAATATCTAGGGGTGTGAGGTTAGGATTGTATTGATAAGCCCCAAAGAATATATTTTTGAATAAGAACTCCATTTTGAAGTCTCGTCCTCCAACAAAAACGAAGCTTTTTTAGTCACGTTTAGCTTAGTTAAAGCTTTAAATTTTATCCCCTCTAGGTATACAACGACTCGCAATTGATAGTGGTTCAATATGAGTGATAATTTGATGCTAAAGAACCCTTTATGATTAAATCCTAGCAAAAGACACCAGAACATGTCGCTACTAGGAAAGAAGAAATACAATCTCCATCATCAGGATTCCCAAGCAAGCTCTAGCCATCTTCTTCCCCTCAACACCAAACCTAAATGCCACCTTCCTTTTTCCTTTAATCCCTCACCAACCTCGATCTCCAAACATAAACCCACAACCTTACCAAACCCATAATCCAATCGAACTCCAAATCCACAATCTTTTTTTTTTTTTTTTTTCACTTGTGTCTTTCAATGTTTTGCAATCTTTTGTCAAGATTGATTTGTGATGATCTTTATTGCCATTGTGCATAAGAAACCCACCTATTTTCTGCGAGACATCGGCTTTTTATTTAATTTATGTCTTAAAACCATTATAAAACAATTTACTATTAGTGATTTGGCTCGAGAAAAAAGAAGATCGTTTGAAGCCTCACTGGAATGAGTTTAATCCCTTAATCTAAGCTAAAAAATGAGAGGGGCTTGGTCACGGATTTTGAAATTTTCATTTGTCTTTTGTTTGAATTCCTTATATATTATATTTAAAGATAGTTTGGTCTTTCCATTCAATTTAGAAACTTGTGTTAATCGAGGATGCAAACTATTTTTTAAAAATTTGATAGGTGTGTTAATCGAGGATGCAAACTATTTTTAAAAAATTTGATAGGCAATTGCAATTGCAATTTCAACTAAACTATAGGATGCTACAAGTAATTATTATTTTTATTTATTTGCTTTTTAATTTTTGGAGTGTGTTTTAGGTTGAGAATTAGTTTATTGAGATTCCTATGGTGTTTTCAAGCGTTTTCAAGTGACAATAAGCTGAAAATTGAGTTTTGAAGATGTAAAAACTTAGATCTTAATTTTTGAATCAATGAAGTTGAATAAAAAATTATCTGACTGGCAAACTGTTATCCATTGTAAAACATAAAAAAAAGACCTAAGTCATATTATCCACTCTCCACTCCTATTTTTTTTTTTTAAAATGTCAGGCCCTAGGTTTCCAAGTTTCCAAGCTTAAGTGCATTTGATTTTTTTAATAAATACCAAGCATGTGGACGTCGTTTGTCAAGTTCATAAGCATTTTTGTGTTTTTTTTTTCATTGCATTGATTTTTTCTATTTAAATATTGATTAATGCCTTACCTTTTATTTTTTTTAAAATTGTTTGGTTTAGCTTTATTTATTTAAATAGTGATTGATTTTTTTGAAAAAAAATTTTAGTTTCATAATTCTTCTTTGAAAAGGTTATTTTAATTTGCCTCCAATTTTTTTCTTTTTTCTTTTATATAAATTAGTTGTATGACACATGATATATTTATAAAAACAAAAATCTTTTGTTATTAACAACAACAATTAGGGGTGAGTAAAAAAAACCAAAGAATCAATTAAATTGAGAAAACTAAGAAAAAATAACAAAAAAAAAACTAAATTATAAAGAAAAACCGATTAAAATTTTTTAACAAAATTTCAATTTGGTTTAGTTTTGGTTTCAGAACTTTAAACAAAAAACTTACCTAAACCGAACTGGTTCAATTAAAGAGTACTATAAATACAAAAAAATAAAAAAAAAATTAAAGAGTACTATAAATACAAAAAAATAAAAAAAAAACACATTCTTATTCTTAACCTTAGCCTTCCAGACTCTAACCATCCTTCTCCTTACTCCCAAGCTGCTCCCTCAACCTTTAGTCCCTCACAATTCACATTAAGATGCAGTATTGTGTCTCTTACGCTATTCACTCCCGTGTTGTGAGCGTTCTCTCTGGCTCTGAGCGTAGAAACAGGGAGCCCCCCTAGCGTTTCATTAGACGCAGGGTACCCTTTTCTTATCACTTTGCTTAATGAAATATCATTATTATTTTGCATTTCTGTTACAAAAGTGTATTTAATTATTTTTTTATGTATTTGGTTTTTTTTAAAATGTTTAGAAAACCAAATCCATAAAATGGTTTACTTGTTGATGAAGGTAGATCATTTTGTGCTTTATATTTTTAATGGTTGAAATCCCTTACTCGGATCTGTATCTTGTTCGTCCTTAATGGAAACAGATCCCTTTTCAATATGTTATTGCTCTGCTTGTCATTTACAATAGTGCATTGCCAAGTATTGGATATCCATTGTGTAGATGATCCCATTTAGATGCATTTACATTCTTAATTTACAAGATGATGTTCTTTGCTTGTTAGTTGAAGTTTGTATTCTTGATTCTTGGTTTTTGTTTTTTGATTTGTAAGCATTGGATGTGGGGAACCGAGTCATTAAATTAAAGTCATTTTCTCCATGTTATTTTATTATATAACCTGTAAAGATTTTATGCATTTTTTTCCTGCTATTTTCATTTTCTATAAATTTCCATACTTCCCCACTCACTTTCGGTATTCTCTAACTGCTCACATACCACTCTGTCTCTGTGTCTTCTCACAATCTTCAAGATGAGAGCAAAGGCATTGCCATTCTTGATATTATTTCTTAGTGTTACTCACTGTATCTCCCATGCAGCAGAACTCAATGGACCTTCAAAGCAGCCGAGGACCATTAGTTTCGGAACAGCCGGAGGGCTGAGACAGGGCTTCCCTAAGGGGTTTGTCTTTGGAACTGCTACTTCTGCTTATCAAGTTGAAGGCATGGCTGACAAGGATGGTCGTGGGCCTAGCATTTGGGATGCCTTTGTCAAAATTCCTGGTAATAATTAATATGTTATGGTGTTTGGTTGCTTCATTAAAAGAAAAATTAAAGTTTTTTCTTTAATGACAGTAATGTTTTTGTTGGCTTAATACAACAGCTAGTGATAAAAGTTAACAACCTAATATTGGGGCCTTAGATTATTTTGTTTTGGTAAAAATATGAAATGAAATGTTGATGTTTGGGAGCATGGATCACTATTAAGGAAATCCCCATGATTGAGCTTTCATTTTGATTTTAATTTCAGCATTTTGGATCACTACATTGCTAAGAATGAGAAGAATGCCCCAAAAATATGAACATCGAGCACACTGTTACTAAACATTACTATTACATTATTATAACTAGTGTAACTTTCATTTCTGCAGATTTTAAATTGTGGAGTTCTGATGGCATTAAATGTCCATTCTTAGTTGTGTCTGATTTCTATCAAGTTTCTCCTATTCAGGACACATGCTAGATCTAAACTCTTCCATTGATGTTGCAGGAAGATGTAGATATCATGAAAAATTTGAACTTCAATGCATACCGGTTTTCGATTTCAGGGTCCAGGATTTTCCCTGGTAATTTTTTCATCTGCAGTTTCTATTAAATTCAAATTTTGTTTGTGAGTTTGTATCGTTGGATATCCTAGCCTTCTTTGACTTCTTCGATGCAGATGGAGCTGGAAAAGTGAATTGGAACGGAGTTGAATGCTATAATAGGTTGATCGACTACATGATCGAAAGAGGTATGTTTTTCTATGAAATTTTAAATGAGATGTATGTTTGATTGCCAGCTAATTGCTTTCACATTTATCAAGATATAGGGATATAATTTATGAACATGAATATTTTGTAGGCATTACTCCATATGCAAATCTTTATCACTATGATCTTAAGCATTAAGCATTATTTAGCATAAGTGGCCATCTTTATCACTATGATCTTCTGCATTATTTAACAAAGTGGTTGTATACTTGATCAATTTTGAATTATTTTATTTTTAACTATAATTCAAGTATTTATTTGTTATCAAAATTGATAGCATTATAAATCTATTCCAACTAATATTACAAGGTAGATAAATAATATTGAAACCTATAAAAACACCTTGAGTCAGGGAAATTATTTAAAAAAAAAAAACCTTGCATCTTTTATTGTGATTCATTAATTAATTTTTTATTTTATAGAATTTAAAGAAAAGTTATATTTAACAATAACTAATAATTAATTCAAAAGATACTTTGATGGTAAAATACTACTTTTTATTTTTACATATTCTAATTTATTTATTCTAATTTATTTTATCAAGTTATAATTTTAGATCTTGATTTTTAGGTTTTGATATCAATAGTATTAAAGAATCAAAGTGTAATGTTCTTGTCATATTGATGTACTTTTCAATTGAAATGATATGTACAATGAAGATTTATATTTTTTACATGAAGTATTTTATTTTTTATGGTAAGTTTATTTGTTGATTTTTAAACCCTTTTGAAGGCAATACAAAGCTTTGTAATTTAAATTTTAACTTGGTATATAATATTTAAACTTTGATGTAGAAAAAGTCCAAAATACAAATATTAGAAAGACTTGCAACATATTGAACATAATATTAGCACTAATAATTTAATATAAATGAATATTTAATGATAAAAAATATTAAATATATTATAGAATCTTGTAACAAAATTAGATAATATTAACATTAATTATAAACCTCTCAGAAAGTCTATTAGAAAGTCCAAAAAATACTGGTTTTCTGGTTTTTCTATTAAAAAACTGAACCAAACCAAAACTGGTCAGTTTGAATCGGTTCCGGTTTGAATTTTTTATTTTTTCAAAATTTTATTTTGGTTATTTTTTTAGATAAAAACTGAAGCAAACTGAAAATACCCAACCCTAACAATAACTAGCCTTTAAAATAAAATTGTATAAAATAAAAATGATAATTATTATAAAATATTTGAATGTCAATCTATCTTTTGCTTCTGCTTGGAAGATTAACTTTTTATTTTAATATTTAATTAATATTCACAATTCTTTTTTAATATATCAATTCATATATTTTTTAATTTATTTTATTACACATAAACATCTTTTCATTCTACAACTAAAAGATATCATAATACTACACATCAATAACATTGTTATTTCTTATAAATTGATTTAAAATCTTACTCATAACATGGCACAACTAGTATTTCCCAAGCCGTATTAACAAGCACTTCTATTCTTTGATTAATTGGGTTGGTGGTGAGTCATAATTTTCTTAAAATAATTGACACAGCTAAATATCTATGCCGACACAGTAAGCATGGATACAAGACTCCAATTGATAAGGTGCCAAAATGCTGGTGATGGCCTTGACACACTTGCAATTAGTCAATCGTTACCAAGAAGAGAGAAGAAAAATACTGGTCCAACATTAAGCTCTTAATTTTCTAAGACTATTTAATATATTTAATACCTCCCACCGCTAGGCTAGAACCTCACTTAAGCACTTCTATTCTTTGATTAAATGGGTAGCCGTATTAACAAGCACTTCTATTCTTTGATTAATTGGGTTGGTGGTGAGTCATAATTTTCTTAAAATAATTGACACAGCTAAATATCTATGCCGACACAGTAAGCATGAATACAAGACTCCAATTGATAAGGTGCCAAAAATGCTGGTGATGGCCTTGACATACTTGCAATTAGTCAATCGTTACCAAGAAGAGAGAAGAAAAATACTGGTCCAACATTAAGCTCTTAATTTTCTAAGACTATTTAATATATTTAATATTGTGATAGTGAAGTTTTAATTTTATAAATCTAGTTAATATTATGATGGAATATTTTTAAAGTATTTTCTATTTGACAATATATTAAAATAATATTTTTATATTTATTTTTAAATTTTATTTTTGATATTAGAATATAAAAAATATAAAATATTAAAAAATAAATTTATAATTAAAAAACTTTTAAATTTTATGAAAAAGATTTTAAAATGTCAAAACAAACAAACAAACTTTATAATAGATATAAAAATATTACTCCGTGTTTCTAAAAAATTTACTTTTTTTTAATTTTTTATTAAAAATTATTTTAATTTTTAATTTTTTATATTATTTTAATGTGTTAATCTAAAAAATAATTTTTTAAAATAAAATAATATTATTCTAATATATTTTAGCACAAAAAACATTAAAAAACAACGGCAACAACATCATGAAAAGGTTATAATAGCACTACAGCATGCCTTTGAAGAGTTGATCAATGTAATAAACCTTAATAATAATAATAATAATATAAAAAAGAACACTATTAATTTTACTGATGTATTTTTTTTCCTTACCGATAAAATTCAGCACAACAAAATAGTAAATAAATAAATAAATCGGGCTGCATGTTTGACTATCATTTCAATAAAATCCTTGGATTCCGATTACGGATGCTGCAACAAGAGCAAACAAAGAAGCAGATCTACTCAAACCAAGCAATTTATTTTAAAAAGCTTTCAGTTGATAATAATTACCTAAAAAGCTTAAATTAAGAGTGACCTCGCTCTCCTATTCTCGCGGGCTCCAGAATCGGACTCGTCGTGAAACCAGCCAACCGATTTCTGCGCTTCGTAAACAAACTGAGAAATGCCTGTAACGTAACACAGATGTCTCAATTAACAGATTCATTCAATCAATTTAATTTAATGAAAGAGCTGCTTGGTGGCTGGCTGACCTTGTTTGACGGTGCGTTTGTTCTCCCGGATCTCTTGAACAGTGGCGGAGATTTTCCAGTAGAGAGGGCGGCCGGCGTAGAAGAGGACGAGCGTTACTACCAGAATCGCCACCACCAGCCATTTCTTGTTGTCGGTGACGCCGTTACTACCAGAATCGCCACCACCAGCCGAAATGTCACTCTTGTTGTCGGTGACACCATTTCTTAAGTATTCTTAGAGGGAGAGAATAGAGTTTTTGTCGGGTGGATTTGGTTTATGAGCGCTAAATAGGACGACGGGAGCAGTGCGAGCGTGTGAAAGCTGAAATTGTAGATGATCCGCGCGTGTACATTGTTTTTTTAAAGAAGAAACTCCGTGATAACAGTTTTTGCTCCTTATGACTAATTTGTTCAATTATATCCCTTCTTCGGAGATAAAGACAAAATAAAATAAATCCATCCTGATTTTATTGTTCTTTAGACGGAGAAGTGAGAGGTTATCATTATTGTTATTGTTATTTTATTTGAACACTAAAATAAGTTATAATGTGGTTCTCAAAATATTTCCAGCTACAAACCCAGAGATTTCAACAAAGCAGCATGTAACTTAATTCACTTTATTCTCCCACGCATGGGAGCAGCTTCATTTCCGAAGACAAGAGTGTCAGCATGATTACAGAAAATGTAGGCTGCAGGATTATAATGCAGTTTGTAACCAGGAACAATGTGATGGAGCACAGCTTGTTGTCACAAGGCCTCCATATATACAGGCCGTATTAATGGCACAGAACAGGAGAGAACCTGTTGTTTTTACCTTCACCAACTGCGTTTTATTTCGTTTTGAAGCAGTGACCTCGTGAGTGACCTTGACTAACACAAAGCCATGCATATGGAAAAAGTAGCAAAAATCATGCATGGCACAATCAACTGAGTGGTCTTCCTATAGATACCGCCTCAGACTTGACCTTCGTCTCACCGGAGTAGGGGCTTCACCACTGCCAGGAAATTCCCATCTGGCAATGACACAATCCCAAGAAGAGCTGATTATCATAGGGTACAAAGGATGCCAGCTACAATCTCTTACAAGACCTTCATGATGATTGAGTGTTGCAACTAGGGCTCCACTTACCTACAAACAATAACAAACTTCCCTCATTTCTCTGCATCAACTACTAATTGAAACATTGCCAGAGAAATAAGATGTCGATTTTGAAAAAGAGAGCTAATATCACACGCATACCAGATCGTAAATATAAACAGAACAGTCACTAGATCCAGTGTAAATGTACTTCTGGCCGGTGCTGCAACAAGAGAATAATCAAATTGGTGAAGCCCTTGCAATCATCAATACCATAAACAAAATATACACATGACATGACAAAGCAAAGCCCTAAACCAGACAAACTGTTGAGCAGGCAGTGTGCGTGGGAGGTCCTGTCCAATTCTACCTAGAAGCCAATTTCATCAGAAAAATTTTATCTAACTTAACTGAACACTGACACAGTAAAATATGTTACAGATGGAAAACTTTCAACTGCCACAACTAGGTAGTAAAACATCAAGTTATTTTGTGTTTCTGAGAAACTAAATTTAGGGTGGTCTGGACAGTAAAACCAGACAACCAGAAAGAATAACACCCTGGGTCAATCCTTTGACCAACATGAAGCCTGGCTTTACAGGAAATTCAAGACAGAAAAAATGCATTTCAACAACTGACGAGTACCTATATTCCGGAGAGAAGTAACAGCGAATGAGAGTGCGCAAGATTGAATGACCTCTGTAAGTGGTCAGAGACTGATCACGAGGATGCGTCAAGCTTTTGGCATGGGGTGGGTACTCCATCCATCTATAATCCCAGTCAGAATCTCTAAGCCTTGGAGTGCTGTTTGAAAAGAGGCAAGTCAGTAGCAAAATTGATTTCAGGAGACCATCAATCAGTTCTGGTACAAGTAAATCAGATCCTTTCCAAAATTTGGTGCGTTAAGCACGTAATTCTGTCTTTTCACACTGTAAACTCAAACCAGCTCAAAAAATACACAGGTGCATGAAGCAATTTTTAAATTTGAACTGTGCATGCCCACCCCCTACCCCAGATCTACAATACACAGGTGCATGAAGCAATTTAAATTAGAAATGTGTATCCCCAACCCCCCACCCCAAACCTTTAACATGTTAATTCATCATCAAAAGGTCCATTTGCCTTTATCTGCAAATCCAAACTTCTGAAAAAGTTTATTCCTTCTGAAAACAATTTATAAAAAGATGAGGAGCGAGGACTCCAAAGCCAAGTTGGAGGATGCTACACCCTTGAGATGACATGTTGTAAATGTCTTCTGTCCTAACTCCAAACCCAGATTTGACAGTTTCAGGTATATGCTAAGCAGAATAAGCAAAATAGAAAATTGTTGTCTGTTAAAGACACAATACAAGCCATATACAATAAATTGAACAAGGCATACAACTTGAAAACTGTTAGCATCAATCTGAGTCCACTTGGCTCCACCAAGCTTCATCCACCAACAGAAAGTACTAACTACAAGTTCGTCACATGGAATAAGAATTTTAAATGATCAAATCCTAACAAGAATGATTCAAACTTATAGCATGGTAATATAAACTTAGAGGAAAGGAAGGCAATTAAAAAACATGTAAATAAACATCTAGGGAATGAGTGTGTGCAAGTTTGCATGGGGTGAAAGGGCAGTAACATTACTACTCTTTGGCATTAGAGGACATCTTTCGAATATCCCATAGTTTGGTAGTCTGATCCTTTCCATTTGAAATAAAATAACGCCCATCTCCACGGCTGTCTATGAATGTAATGCCTTCTAGATGTCCCATCAAGACCCCTGCTGCTTTTCCTTTTGAGATAAAGCAACGCCTATCCCACACCTGCAGAAATTAAAGTAAAAGACAAACGAAAGTTCCTTCATTAAAGGAACCAATTAAGAGATGCAAAGTCAGTGCCATGTTAAATTTCAGCAAGCGTGAAAAGGCATCATTATTTATTCAAATTGGCCTGGTTCGTGTTAGCTTTATGTAGCTTGGGACAAACTGACAATACTAGCATAAAGTAACTGCCAAGGCACCAGTAATAAAAATTCTATTCAACCTACAGTGAGGCATCTGCAAACTGTTTAAAACAGAATGAATATTGGGTAGAACTATGGAACAAGATGACCTAAATCTTTGAAGGCTAAAGAATAGCTTTCACCTTACAGAGGTTATCATCACTTCCAGAAAACAAGAGATGGCCAGCTTCATCCGCAAAACATACTGTGTTGACATCAGACTGCAAGAGCAACACAAATTAGATCATGATATATCCAAAACACCAAAACCTCCTTGAAAGGGAGCCCAAAATATTTATGAATATACAGTGCTAACATCTTCATTTTAATCACTCCTGCCAAGTAAAAAGTTCACAGATGTTCCCTGTATAACACTGAAATGTAGACCTACCCCGCATTTAGAGGAGGGAAATGGTAAAGAAGGGGATAAAGACAGCAAGTATGAATAAGAATACAAAGCATCAACTTTTGAGCAGGAAAGAAAGATAATTATACACTTGTATGATTTAGTTCTGTATTTCACTGAAATATAGACCCACCCTGCATTCAGAGAAGGGAAATGATAAAGAAGGGGAGAAAGACAGCAATTAAGAAAAAGAATACAAAGCATCAACTTTTGAGCAGGAAAGAGAAATAATTGCACTTGTATGATTTAGTTTAAACTTCTTTAGGACCCATGTGTGAAAAGTAACGGTCTTGGCTTCCTTACTCTAAAATACGGACTGATGAATATGCCCAACTAATTTCTCTAAAAATTAAAATTTGAGAATGAAACAAGATACTGTCTTTTACAAAGCAAATAAATCTACTGGTCAATAGGCAGGCATGGGTCTGCGTTTTCAGTTTCAAAGGAATAAGATAGACAATTTAGCAGCATTTATGTATACAAACTAAAACTACCAAGTAGTAATACAAGAGGAAAGTTGCTTACAGATTGTCTAGACGTAACTTGCACCTCATCAACCAATTCCAAACAAGCAACATATTCTAACTTTCAATCACCCCACTAAATTTCAAAATCCTATAAGCTTTATGATGAAATGTACAAATATGATACCTTATGTGCAGGAACTCGGAGACTGCAGGTATTTGCTTCAAGATCATAAATATATATTGAATTATCACTACTTGCAGCTACAAGCTCTCGCCCATCAGTTGAAAACTTCACAGAGAAGATCCCAAATTCATCATAATCATCGTTATTGGCAGAAAAATCCAAACCATTATGAATTTCCTGCATATAGAAATTTTGATGTGAATGAAACCAATGGCCATTTGCTTTGTATGATTTATGAAAATATTAATTGATCACTTTGTGGCACTAAACATGATGAAGAAACAAAAGTAGGACCGCATTATAATCATTGAATTTCCCAAGAAAAAAATTGGCTGTCTGTAAGAGGACAACTGAGTAAGCCATAGCTCAAGGTGCAGGATTGCCTCTCTGTAGCGCAAAGTGGTTTACTCCAAGTAGCATCTTACTTACCAAAGTGGATGATCGCAAGCATTGTGACCATAACCTGATTTTTAATAGTCATGATGACAGGGGCCCTCACCAAGAACAAGGACTAACTCACAATGGTGCCCTATAACACGAACAATGCACATCATACAGAACCACAATCCATGGGGAGCATGCACTGCAATAATTGGGTAAATTAAATAGACATCCCTAGCAGGGAATAAAAAATTTCCCATCTATCACCATTGATAACAGCTAGACAACACAGTAATTCCAAGATGACAGTTTAAAGGCATGGTTCCGTAAGAATAAAGCTAATATGACAGAAGCTGAAAAGATATTAGCCTTTGATCAAACACCTGCATATTATAGGAACTAAGGGAAAAATCCCCAATCAAGAATGACTTGTGGCAGACATACCGTTACATTTGCTAGCGACTCTGTTGCAGCAGATCCAATATCCACAATATGGACAACAGGTGACAAGCTAGCATACACCTGCACAATTACCATTAAAGATTAATGAAATCAACAATGAAAAAGCACTTCATCCATGTCATAAAATTAAATTGTATTGCATGTCAAGTAGATCAGTTCATCTCCAATGAAAAGTGGCATAGTTACACTCGGGAACAAGGATGAGCTCTACACAATTGATAAAATTATGCTGGCCCACAATGAGCCCGGATCCAAATACGGGCTAAGTTGCAGTATGACATTAGACAAATTGACTCATCATAAAAAACCAAAAAGATATAAGACCTAAAACAACCGAGTAACCATTGTTTAAGGCTGCAACAATGAGAAATTACAAGGGAGCACTTGAGCCGTGTCCATAATGATCCATAAAAGGCATCCACACAATCCAGCACACAAAGAGATTGAATAAAAAAATGCATAGAGAGATGACCATACATTCTCACAGACACACACACACACACACACAAACACAACAGAAGCACATGTGAACAATCAAGAAATGGGAAGGCGGATAATCCACCAACCTGTATGTTGAACAAGATGAGAGCTACAACAATTAAAACAGGGAATAAAGACAGACGCTGAAGAAAATTTATGTTTGGTATTTAAAAAGATGGGATCCACCGAAGAAGAAGTCCTCCACTAAGCCCAGAGAACTTGCATTAATGCACTGAACTATACTAGAATAATTGACTTCCTACTCAGTAATATATCCACTTTTTTTTCCAACTTTAGTCATCAGAAACTTACAAGGTAGCGCTGATTGGGCGAAAGACATGTATCGGTAATTGTCCATCTTAAACTCTTGGCTAAAATGTCCTTCTGAATTTTCCATCCCTTATCCACATTATATATCCTAATGTGGCTTCCCTGTGGCAAAAGAAACGTATATAATGACTTAAAAAACAACAATACAGACACTCCCGTTAATTTAAGCATCACCATATCTTTATGAAGGGTAATGCTTGCTCAAGAGTAATTTACTTTATTGATAGCCCCATGTTACCTGGCATCCAGCAACAAAAAGAGTTCCATCGTCTGAAAACTGAGAAACATAAGTTCGACTATTCAATTGGTCCACCTTGCAAGGACCATGTACAGGCAAATATCGACTTGAAACATGACGACTATCTGCAGGTGAGAATCTCCCTCTGCCGGAATAATTACCCTCTCGACCAACCAACATTCTCATGGTTGAGACGGGCAGCCTCGACCTGCCAGGCACGTCCCTGCTCAAAAGTTCATGAGGCCGTGACCTGAGCTTTGTGAGTTGAGCAATCTCATGATCAAGATAATCAGAAACCTCATTGGGTCCTTGACTTGTAGAGGATCCCTTGCCAGCAATTTTATCATCACATAAATTACTACTCTTGCGTGTCCTACTCATGTTATCCTTATCTTTCAATTCCCGTAATAACCCACTTCTAATTTACAGCCATGGATACTGAAATTCAACGAAGCTACTTGTTATCGGCATAAACAGCATCAAATCCTGCGAAACAGAACAACAAAAGCAAGAGAAATGAAAAAAGGTTTCTCCATTATTCGAAAATCGGATGAGTATTAGCCATCAAACTATGTAAATTCGATAACCAGAGGCTAGAAAAGACTCTAATTTTCAAATTCTCTCCATTTCAAAGCAAACAGATTAAGATAACTTAGAATCCAAGCATTCATAAAATACAAACTTGATTGAAAGAAAAAGAAGAGAAACTGAAAGAAATCGAGGTAATGAACTGATCCTAACATTCTCACTTCGTATTGGCAATCAATCAAACAATATGTTAAAAGAAAATAAAGATAAAATCAAGAAAAATAAAATAAAATCAAGAAGAAGAAGAAAAGTACACTTCTTTGAGATAGAGTGAAAGAACTATTAAACAAGTAATTAGGAAGTGTGAATTTAGATATATGTTGTTGTCTCTGTATGTGGTTTTGATGATTGCCAGGCAGCATGGAAGTTGAAGCTCGAGGGCACCTAGTTACCAGTTAAACTGGTAGATAAAGGAACACGTCACTACTGTTTTATATGCAAGGATACATGGTTGATGTCACCTCATACGCATGAACGGCATGCCAGTTTTAGGTCAGGTTAATTAGAGGTTGTTGTCCCTGTTTTATCAATTTGGTTGAATTTAGCCCTTCTCCTTCTAATTTGATGGATTGAGTTCCTCTCCTACGAAAGAATCATTTTACTGTAAATTGTTATACTATAATGACAATTTTGCCCTCCACAGGGCAAGCCAAGAAGTGCAAAACAGGGGGGAATGATCTTTGAGTTATTTCATTTAACATTAATACTATAATTGATTGTCACTTTTTTATTTTTTTTATTTTTTAATTATATTTTTATTATTTAACTTTTATATTATATTTAATCTTTATTTTTTTATTGCTATTTTTTATCCTTTTCTTATTTTATTTTTTAATTTCATCTCTAATGTTTTTATTTCATTTAATTTTATATTAGATTTAATCTTTATTCTTTTAATTATTATTTGTCTTGTTTTTTAATTTTTAATAATTATAAATTTTGCTTCATGATTTCTTAGAGTTTGTTTTTGTTGAAGTTTGCTTCAAAATGTTGCAGTCAAAAATCATGTTCTTTCAGTTTATATTTTCCTGCAATAATAATAGCTCGTCCTAGTCATTAGAAATTTGTTAATCTGTTAGTATGTTAACAGATCATGGTTTTATTTTAGCTTTTTCAGTTGTAATTTTCTCCTATAAATATGTACGAGATTGTTGTCAACAATTAAGCAATTCTGTTTTAATTCATTTTTAATCAAAGAGTGCAATATCAATATTATTTTCTTTTCTATTCTGTTGTTTTTCAAACACACTTCAAACACCTCAAACTCTAGCAACTACAAGAAACACTTTCGTCAGATTTCTTGCTAATAAAACAGTGAAAAATAGTCATTGTTCAGATTAAAATCTAGAAATCTTATTTACTGTTTCACTGCTTTTAATTCAAACACTTTCATTTGGTATCAGAGCAATTTTCTTGAAGGGACCTGTAATGGAGATTGAAACAAGTTTTTCTCACATGTCTTCTCCTATCTTTGATGGAGAAAACTATCAATTGTGGGCAATGAAGATGGAGACCTATCTGGATGTTATGGATCTGTGGGAAGCTATTAAGGAAGATCACGAAGTGCATCCTCTGCCTAATAATCCAACAGTAGCTTAGATCAAAAACCACAAATAGAGAAAAAAAAGGAAATCAAAAGCAAAAACATGTCTATTTGCTGTTGTTTCCACAACCATTTTCACCAGAATTATGTCACTTCAATCAGCAAAGGATGTTTGGGATTACTTGAAGAAGAAATACGTAGGAGATGAAAGAATTCATGCATGCAAAGTCTCAACTTGATAAGAGAATTTGAACTGCAAAGGATGAAGGATTCTGAGTCCATAAAAGAGTACTAAGATAAATTGCTTGGAATCGTCAACAAGGTAAGGTTGCTAGGTACAAGTTTCTCTGACTTCAGAATTGTAGAGAAAATCCTAGTAACTGTACTTGAGAAATATGAAGCATCCATAACCACCTTGGAGAATACCAAGGATTTGTGCAAGATCACCTTGGCAGAATTATTGAATGCCTTAGAAGCTCAAGAGCAACGAAGGCTTATGAGGCAAGATCAGATTGTTGAAGGAGCTTTACCAGCTAAGCATCAGGACCACGACAAGGACAAAAGGAAATTCATCAAGAAATTTCATACTTCAATCAATGAAGCCATTGCCAGTACCAGAAATCAAGGCAAAGAAAGAAACTCAAATAGAGGTTATCCACCTTGTAAGTATTGTGGAAGAACAGGTCATCCACCATTCAAATGCTAGAAAAGGCTTGATGCAAAATGTAACAAGTGCAATCAGCTTGGACATGGGGTTGTTATATGCAAGAACAAATTTCAAATGAGGGAAGCAGATGCTCAAATTGCTGAGAAAGATGATGAAGATCAGATTTTTATGGCAACCTGTTTTTCAACCAAGAGCTCCTAAGAATGTTGGCTAATCGACAGTGGTTGTACAAACCACATGACATATGACAGAACCCTTTTCAAAGACTTACAGTCCACTAAAATCACAAAGGTTTGAATAGAAAATGGTGATTATATTTTAGCAAAGGGAAAAGGAACCATTTCAATTACAACAAATTCAGGTACAAAATCTATTTCAGATGTTCTTTACATACCTGATATTGATCAAAATTTGCTGAGTGTGGGTCAGCTAATAGAAAAGGGATTCAAAGTTACATTTGAAGATCATTGTTGCCTCATATATGATGTTGCTGGCTAGAAAATTTTACAAGTCAAAATGAAAGGGAAAAGTTTTTCATTTTTTCCAACTGAGGAGGAGCATACAGCCTATTTCACAAATACAAGCATCACTGAAACTTGGCACAAGAGACTTAGGCATTGTCATCTCCAGCGAATGCTGACAATGAAGAAGAATGAAGTGATAAGAGGATTGCCTGCTCTTGCTGATCAAATGCTGAATTTTCATGCCTGTCAATTTGGCAAACAAAAGAGGTTGCCTTTTCCTAAATCTTCCTGGAAGGCATCTCAAAAGCTGCAACTCATTCACACAGATGTAGCAGAACCTCAAAGAACACCATCACTGAAAGGTAGTCTCTACTACATTGTGTTCATTGATGATTTTTCAAGGATGTGCTGGATTTTTTTCTTGAAGTTCAAGTCAGAGGTTGCTGGAATCTTCTGGAAATTCAAGAAGATGGTGGAAAATCAGAGTGGCTACAAGATTTAAAGTATAAGATTAGATAATGGGAAGGAGTATACTTCAGCAACATTTAATCTATTATGTGAAGAAGCTGGAATTGAACATCAACTCACTGCTTCTTACACTCCAGAGCAAAATGGCATTAGTGAAAGGAGAAATAGATATGTAATGGAGATGGCTAGGTGTATTTTGCATGACAAGGAGTTGCCTAAAGAATTCTGGGCAGAGGCAGTACATACAGCAGTCTTTCTTCAATATCGACTTCCCGCTAAGTTTTTGAATGAAAGAACACCATTTGAAGTCTAGTATAGATATAAACCTTTATTGAACTTTCTTAAAGTATTTGGCAGTGTGTGTTTTGTCTATATTCCTTAGGTCAAGCATGACAAGCTTGATAAGAAAGCACTTCCAAGCATATTTGTGGGATACAACTTAGTCTCCAAAGCATATAAAGTGTATCATCCACAAATAAAAAAGATATCAATTACAAGGGATGTACACTTCAATAAAGATAAGCAATGAGACTGGAAGAAACTTCAACAAAGCACTCCTTTTGAAGATCAAATAGCTCCTCAGTGGCAGAATGAACTAGAAGATGATCCTCCAGTTAGAGGCACAAGGCTGCTGTCAGACATCTATCAAATATGCAACATTGCATTTTATGAACCTACTGGATATGAAGAGGCACTCAAAGACAGCAAATGGAAGAAGGCCATGGAGGAGGAGCTGATTCAAAAAAACAATACCTGGACATTAGTTGACAGACCTGAAGGTAGAAAAGTTATAGGAGTGAAGTGGGTATATCAAACGAAGTTGAATATAGATAACTCCATCAACAAACATAAGGCCAGACTTGTTGTTAAAGGGTATGCTCAGATTTTTGGTGTTGATTATTCTGACATGTTTGCACCTATTGCTAGACTGGACACAATTAAATTGCTGCTAGCAATCTCAGCATAGAAAGGCTAGAAAATGTTTCAGTTAGATGTAAAATCAGCCTTCTTAAATGGAGTTTTACAAGAAGAAATATATATGGAGCAGCCTGATGGATTTGTGATTTAAGAAGTAAAGGATAAGGTCTACCTTTTGCAAAAGGCTCTCTATAGCCTGAAGCAAGCTCTTAGAGCTTGGTACAGCCGGATTGATGAGCATTTACTAAATTTAAGCTTTGTAAAAAGCTTATCCGAGGCCACTCTATATGTCAAACTGAAAGACAATGATGTTCTTATAGTGTCCCTTTATGTTGATGACCTTTTGGTGACAAAAAGTAATGAATTGCTGATTGAAGAATTCAAACAAGAAATGATGAATGTATTTGAAATGACCGATCTTAGTCTTATGACTTATTTTCTTGGAATGGAGGTCAAGCAAAGCCATAATGAAGTCTTCATATGCCAGAAGAAATATACAAAGGAAATATTGAAGAAATTTCGTATGGAAGAGTGCAAAGCAACCAGCACACCAATGAACCAAAAGGAAAAGCTAAGCAAGAATGATGGGGCAAATAAAGTTGATGAAGGATACTTTAGAAGCATGATTGGATGCTTAATGTATCTTACAACAACAAGGCTTGATATTCTATTTGTTGTAAGTCTCTTATCTCGTTTTATGCATGGTGCTAGTGAATTACATTTAAGAGTAGCAAAGAGAATATTGAGGTATGTTAAAGGGACTATTAGCTACAGGGTCAAATTTGAGAAGTGTCTAGGCTTCAATTTATATGGATTTTCAGATAGTGACTGGGTTGGTTCCCTTGATGATATGAGAAACACTTCAGGATATTGTTTTAATCTTGGTTCTGGAGTTTTCTTTTGGTGTTCAAAGAAGCAGGAGATTGTAACACAATCCACAGCTGAAGCAAAATTTATTGCAGCCATAGCAGCAGTAAACTAGGCTTTGTGGCTTAAAAAAATCTTAAGTGATTTGTCAATAGAGGAAATAGAACCAACAGAGATTTTAGTAGATAATTAAGTTGCTATTGCAATCTCTCATAATCCAGTATTTCATGGGAAGACTAAGCATTTCAACATCAAGCTTTATTTTCTACGGGAGGTGCAGAAAAATAGTGATATTAAGTTAATTTATTGCAAGTCTAAAGATCAACTTGGTGACTTATTTACCAAACCACTTCCAGTAAGTAGGTTTGAGTATCTAAGGAAAATGTTAGGAGTTTGCACTTCTTAAAGCAAGGAGGAGAATTGAAGTTTGCTTCAAGATACTACGGTCAAAGATCCTGTTCTATTAGTTTATATTTTCGTGCAATAATAATAGCTCGTCCTAGTCATTAA